TACGATTGAAGAGAAGCATGAAGGGCCTGATCCCAGAGAACCTATCTTGCTGAGGAATGGAGAGATTGACGAAGAGGCGGAGGAAGTGTTGGGGCTAGCAGGGTCGTATGAACCAACGGAGGCTGGTAGCTTGCACTCAGGAGAAGGTCAAACAGCAATGGAGTCTGAACCGTTGGAGCGGCTGACAAACAAGCAGAGAAAGAGCTTGCTTGGGATACCAACTATCCCAACAACCCCTACGAGACCATTGGAAGTTGATCAGGAAGGTTAGTCTGCTGAGAAAAGAGAAGCAGAAGAACATGCTGAAGAGAGAGAGAGCAAAACAGCAAGGTTCGACCGTGAAACAAGCCGTCAGTCAAGTCCCAAAGCAGCGTTGTATTCCCCATTGTATGGGCGGCGTGAATCGAGTCAACATGCAGCATGGTGATGTCTGTTGGGAGGAGGATGTTGATTGGGAGTTGATAGAAGATGAATTGGGTGATTTTGAACACGATTTCTATGGTGAGCGACCTCCAAACTTGTCCCCAGAAGAGCTGAATGAGCTCGATGCAGAAGTTATGAAGGTTGAGATCGAGAAGCTCACGGCTATGGGAGTTGTACAAACACTGAAGGAGCAAGTTCATAGACCTCAAAAAGGTGTACGACTGGAGGTACAGAGAAGGCAAGTGGAAGAGGCGATGTAGAGTGGTGGCTCGAGAATTCCGAGCAGGTCCCTCTACAGATGAGATTTTTTCGCCTACCTCTTCCTATGCCGTGGTCAGACTGTCTTTATTCTGTCATTTTTTCTTTGGATGGAAAGTAGCAGCTCTGGATATTTCCGATGCCTATTTGACTGTGGTGCAGAAAGAAGTGTGCTATGTGAAGATTTCACAATGGATGAAGGAACTGCTGAAATTGCCAGAGGATTCGCTTTGGCAGCTGAAGAGAGTGCTTCCCGGCCAGAGAAACGGAGCACAGAGGTGGTTCCAAGATTTTTCGCACCACTTGCAGGCACTGGGATTTACATCATGCAATGCTATGCCATCTGTGCTGAAACACCAAACGAAGAAGTTGGCTATCAATATTAATGTTGATGATGAGTTGGTAGTTGGAGAGACGGTTGAAGACATTGAATGGATGATCGACGCACTGAAGACAACTTATAAATTGCAGGTGGAAGGTCCAATGCCAAAAGAGCCATTAGGCAATGGTGAAGAGCTCAACTATTTGAAGAAGACTTATGCGTTCCAAGAGGACGGCATTTATGCGAGGCCCAATTCGAAGTTCACTGAGACTCTCATCAAGCTGTATGGTTTGCAAGATCGGAAAGAGAAGCAAGTACCTGAACATAGCTTGCTTGGGCATCCAGACACATCCCCAGAGCTAGACAAGAAACGGCAAGCTGATTTCAGAACTGGTTTGGGTACAGCGATGTACATGTCGCATGAGCGTTTGGACATACAACATTGTGTGAAAACATTGGCTGGATCAATGAGAACACCCACGAAACATGCTGAGAGATGTTTGATCCAACTTTGTTTGTACCTCAAAGGCACGGCAAATTTGTCATTTCGGCTTCCATACACACCAGTTGGAACAAGGATGTCAGGAAAGCTGAACAACAGGCCGGAACATGAAGTTGAAGACAACACACATGTGATGGAGGTATTTGGCGACAGTGATTGGGCTGGTAGTTTACACAGGAAATCTACAACTTCAGTGATTGTGTTGCTGAATGGACTTGTGGCCCTTTCGTACAGCAGAACACAGAAAGCTGTTGCATTATCCTCATGTGAGGCCGAAGTTCTTGCATTGACATCGGGTGCAAGCGAGGCAATTTTGCTGAAGGAAGTATGGTCATTTTTGATCAGTGGAGAGATTTTGTTAGAGGCTCGAAGTAATTCATCGAGCGGAAGACAATGGTTGCAACGAAGTGGACTCGGACGCCTCAAGCACATTGACGTGAGATTATGTTGGTTGCAGATGGCAATCCGGGAGAGAGTCTTGAAGGTGTTGCCAATATCGACCCAAGTATATTGCAGATTTGAACACCAAGAGGCTTGCAGCATCCAGAAGACATTTTCTCCTTTCATTTATGGGGGCGGTTCGTTTGAATGATGAGAATGAAGTTGTTGAGCAAGTTGGAGAAGGTGAACAGTTGAATTACTTTGCAGAACAGCAATGGAAGCAACAAGTTCGACAAGTGAGCCGATGGATGAAAGCACGGACAAGCAAAACATTGGTTCATTGTGCACTTCTTGCTCAGGCCTTTAATCTGAAAGGCTGTGGTGAAACGGAAGGAGAGTTGGGACAACGTGAACAGGACCAATTTTGGATGACAATTGCAATCCTCATTGTTATTGGATGTTGCAATTGGTTGTATCAACATTGGGAGCAAGTTGTAGCAAGATTCGGTCTTCGAGGCCGGAAACGGCGAAGGAGTGAGCGAGATGAAGAAGAACCAGAACCAGAAGCTGTGAGGCGAGTGGTTGCAAACGAGAATGTAGAGCCAGGGTCAAGTAGCATGGCTGGACCGATGACCTCAACAGGCCATGTGGAACCCCGTCCTCCATTGTTTCCACCGATGCCAATTGACCCGCCGGAGAGATGGGCACCATGGTCACCTGAATGGTTCACTTACTGGATGTTGGGCAGAGTTGAAAGAAGAGTCGAACGAAGAGCTGGGAGAATGACAGAACAGGAGCGAAAAAAGTATGAAAAGAAAAGAGAGATTTTAAGGTCAGTTTTGATGGTTCTTGAACAGCGACCAGGAGAGAGAGCCAGGCGGAGAGCACATCAATTTTGTCAACAGATGACAGATTTGTCAGTGGACGAAGACAGTCCCCAAGCGCCTGAGGTACCAGAACTTCCCGAGCCAGGAGCTGAACCTACAGATGCAGTGGGAGGTTCATTGAGCATTGGAGAAGAGAGTGGCTATTTTGATCAAGATCGTGTTCCCGGCAGAAGCTTGGAAGTTTCAAGTGAGGCGGCGAAAGCAATGGCTAGGCCTGACAGGGATGAAGAAGAGGAGAACGAGGAAAGTGAAATTGAAAATAGTGAGAGCGAAGATACAAGAGTTGGTAGGTACCTGAACGGCACGATGAGCGAGGTATCGGACCCGGAGATGTGGATGAACCTACATTATTTGTCATCTGGCTCCGGGAGTGACAATGCAGAAGAGCAGCCAAGCGGGTCGACAGGACATTGAATGTTGGATGTTGGTTGGACTTACAGTTTCAATGCATGTGGTAGGCTCGCTGACGCATCTGAACCAGCAGCCTACAATGGTAATGGAATGCTTTATTTCGGTGTAAGGCTGCGCCAGCTGAACCAACCTTACATTGATACACGTCATTTCTGGACACTACGAAGCATTTTGCGGTTTAGAATTCATGAAATCTTTTGTAGAAGTCGTACTGAAAGTACCGGAACCGCATGTACAAAGGGTACCCTGCAGGCAAGGCAACAAGGGGCCTTAACCTATGTCGCATAGACGGTGCGATCCTTGTTGTCGAAAACAAAATTCGACTTAGCAACGTCGCAATTTTGAGGCGGCGTGTTAGACTTTGTGAACCTACTCAAGTGTAGTATCTGTTCATATCAGTCATACCGCTGTAGCGTGTGGGTCCAAAACAGGGGCGCTGCCTAACAAAATGAGAAAGACAACACCCTCAACACCAAGTTACTTTTTCCACAACATCAGCAATACCAAGAGAAACGACAAACCGCAGGGTGGGTAGACCAAGACTCTGCTGGACCACAAACAACATGAAAAAGGCCTGGGATATTGTGTGTACCAATAACCAAAGTCAGCCAAGACAACATTTCAACATGTATGATCGCAATATGAGAGAACAATTTATTGCACAAACAAAGCAATATCAACCACCCTTTCACAAATATCTATTCAGAAAGCAGTCGCAAGAATCGCCTCTCAGTGTGAATATCCTCAATGTGCATCCCAATTTGCGTCTCAATATGAAATCACCTCACCTTCACACTTCATGCATTGGCCTATTTGATCGCAGTCAATGGTGGGGACAGTGAGTGTGCCCGTTAGCTTGTATATATGCATAGTTTCTGGAAGTAGGTTAGTGCCAACGGGGCCAACGACTTGTCGCCTTGATAGGTGGGATGGTTATGGCTTAAAAAAATATTTTTGTCATCCTTGTTTTAGTCAGAGGTTGAGGTCACAATTTCTTTACAACTACTAATTCGCTAAAATCAATATTGCATTTATTTATGGCTTTGCTTTTTAAATGAGGACACTCTATCCACTCCAGGATGTTTATGATTGCGTGAAGTGCATGTCACAGGCTCCCTATTTTGTTTCGTCCGAGCAACGCACACCATTTTGTGATGCGCATTCTTGCCACCACAGTTTTGCGTTTTTGGCAATGTTTTGTTCTTGGTTTGCACAATGCTGGACCCATGACCACGGAGTCGAGTCACTGAGGCCGCTTCCTTGAAAAAAACAGTTTATTCAATCCTTTCAACCGTATACTTGCACACTGGCGGCGAAGCCGACATTGGTTTTTGTTGGGTTTGTTGTTGCTCATCAATCGGACGTCAATTTTGCCCAAAAGTTGGAATTGAGTGGATTAGTTACAAAAAATACATCCAAAATTTTACATAACCGCAGCACTAACATTGAATCAGGCATTGAGGTTGCTACGTGTGCTTTATGGCGTGCAATGTACTTGTACTGCAGTATTGTCCCTTAACGGTATCAAGGCGAAAATGTGGGAATCCGGGTTAGTTTGCGGGTGCATGCTGCGTGCCAGGCAGCAGGACAAACATGTCAATTCATTGTTTCATGAATTTTTCGGCTCACCAACGCCTGTCAGACATGTCATATCCTGCAACCTTGCAAATCACGAGCATGCTGTTGCGTCTTGTGCAACTTTTTGTTTGACGTGGTTGGCAAAGCAGGTGACAAGATGAAACCACCCATATGAATGTTACCTGTCATTATCATTTGAGCCTCCAGACATCCCCATCATCCCCACATTTGTCAATTCTTTAGGGCCCCAATCCTTGGGGCATGGCGGCAAGATTGACCTTCATCGAACCGTGCCATTTTCGATGAGATGGAAATGGTTTGTGCAGCAACTTTTTGGAGGGCTTCATCCAATTCCAGGCTTGGAAGGGGGATGGCGTGCTTTCTCTCTTCTTTTTAAAACGCCTTCGGCGTAGTTTGGTTGATGAGACGCTCATCCAAGTTTCGTTGCAGCAGAGTTTTTGTTGCTTTTGCCTCGCGGTGAAGTGGCCAGGTGCAAGCGCACTTGTGAAACAAGCTGGACATGATACGGCCAGTCTGTGTGGTGCTTCCCGCACAGACTTCCAGTCATTGCTGGGAGCATGTCCAGTTCCTTGACGCAACACACGTTCAGCTGATGTTTTTTGGGTGCATTCTACCGGGTGTGATTTGAAGGCAATGAGTACTTTCTTCTATCTCAACACAACAAACGTCCATGCCCCGAGCTCGCAAAGCGCTTGGCATCCGAGGTCTTGGTATACCGCGGGCTCATCAATCCAAAGCTCTGCCAAGAGTCGACGCAGATTCTCCTTGAAGGACAACTCAAAGTCCTTTTACACAAAATCACGGGTTGCGAAACCCAAACTTCCAAGTTCTAGAAGCCAGAAACCCACTGTTCCTTCACAACCTCGCCAGCCTGCGGATTTTTGTTGGTTTTGAGGACGCTTCGCTGAGTGGAGGCTCGGCCAAGATCCTGACGCTTGGGTGAAACGCTAAGCCTTGATTCGTTTTTTGCCGTGCGGTTGTGCAGGTGGAAGAGTCATTGGATACATCATCGGAACAAATCATCACCCGATGTCAGGGTTTTGGCCATACTGAGTGGTCTAGTTTCAAGTCAGCATGGTTTCGGAGCGTTTGGCACGGCCCTAGGATGCACCAGCCTCTGACTACACGAAGATTGGCTACACAAAAACCGATGTCCTGATCCAAGAAGGCTGGATTCAACTCTGATGGACATCCAAGATGCGAAGGACGATACCCTCCTTGAAAGAATAATGTTTAATGTAGACTCTGGATTATCAAGCCCCCATATGAAGAGGATTTTCATATTGATCAAGAGGTTTTGCAATGCGTAGAGTGAGTGTTTTCACCACGTAAGCGGCTGGTCTTTCAGATGACAGGAGGGTCCTCCGAGTCGAAATCGGGGCGGCGTTCCATCCACGTTCCATCATCGAAACGACTTTGGAGAGTGTAGATTTTGAGAAAGATGACATCGAAGGACACCAATTTCCTTTCTGCTTTACACCGATCGATGCTTTCGAAGAGAGAAGAGCCGAATCGGATTCCATGGAATGTGACTGGGCAGGTTTTCGCATGACTGCGACAAGTGCAGCGCCAGAGAAATACATTTCCAGCGCTTTGGAGACGACCAAGCTCCTGCAGAAAGCCCTTGGAGGTGTGGTGGGCCTCAAGCAATGCTTTTACACGGCACACATGTTCCATGTTCCCTCCTGTTTTTCTGTGCAACTTTTTGAGCCCCCCGGCGGCAACATGATGTAGCTGCATGTTTTCTTGCATATGCTTCTTGCTCGGAACATTTCCACTCATTTTCTGCACCGCACGCTGCAACCTTCACCACACCAAACAAAGTGAGCATAAAAACAATCATTGAATGTAATCCTTGAGGTGATTTCTTCCATGCTTTGGCCAGCAAGTTTGCTCCTTTGGGCATCAGCCTGCAACTGGAGCAGTGTCCATTGTCACAGCGGCCCTTTTTGCCGTGCGTGGTGCGGCGAATGGAACCAGGCTAGCGGCTAGGAGAAGCAGTGAGTCACGGGAGAGACTCTTTTCCTGGTGTAAGCTGTTCGTGTGTGCCTGGTGGGGTCCGATTTCTTTAGATGTTCATTCATGTCAGAACTTAGATAGAACTTTCCAAACCAACCACTTTCCAACAAACTACACCAGGTCTGAACTGCTCTCTAATATATAAACCAACTTGAACTTGGAGTCACGAATTATCCTCCTATTGTTATGCGGTTATGCCCATCTGTGCTTTTTAGTGTCTTTGCCCCATGCCCTCGTCACCTCAAAACAATGAAGCGAAGACGTCTCCTCGATGCATTTGGCTCTTTAAACAAAAGCGCCGTGAAAACGCCGCGACCTGCATCCACGGCGGCACCTCCGTAAGCCTCGCAACGGTGGCACCTCGCGCGGCTCCCGCGATCCGCGGTCCGACGACGGTCGGTCGTCCGACGGTCGATGCGCCTGTGCCGACGAGTTCGGCCTTCACTGAGAGCGGTACCGAGCTGCACCCACATCCCTCCCAATGCGGCGAGCTTCACCCAGTGAGTTCTATTGGCTATGCGTTGCCTCAGCCATGCATAGCCATGCCACCCTACACAGTAAGTCATAATATGTTGTGCTTGTGTGACTCAAACTCAGATCGATTCAAACACAAGCTTTGTTTCCTGGCGATAATGACCTCTCCTCTAGCCTAGACATAATTCGCATATATACAGCAAATAGTACTTGCAGTTCACATGTGCTGTGGTTAATAAAGCAGCGCAGCTTCTGTGCGGGTGGATTTGCGTGCAACGCGCATTACATGCATTACACAGACCCTCAATCATGCTTTCGTCGACTGTGTTAAGAGCAAACATATCCGCTTTCTTTGGAGTGATCAGTAGTCTCCATGTGATTTGGCGACTTGCTCTCCTAAGCTGCACAGTGCCTTACTAGAGGTGGCCGCCGCAAAGAGGGTAACATACACATGGATACAGTTGTGCCTGGAAGCACCTTGTCTTTGAATGTGCGCTTTGGTGGCAATCATTGCACTCTCAAACATGTTTAAGAAAGATGGCAAAGGAGGTCGGTTATTGCCTGCATGCTGCTCATCCAGGTATTTGAATGTTCCGGAGATGTCTGGCGGAGAGCTAGTCCTTTATCCCATTCGCAAGGATTCTTTGCAGCGATTCTTGTGTTTTGGCTGCGCTGACATGTCCTTTCTTCGTTGATCAAGAGTGAAGGATTGCTTCATGAACGTAAGCCTGCTTGTTCCTACAAAAGTTCCCAATGGAGCTAGAAAGACTTTCACTTGCAATTCTAACGCTTGCTTTCTTTCGCATGCAGATGGATTTGCCCCAGACGTGAGCAGGTATGTATGTAATTTTTACATATCGCGGACAGTGACCACAGCTGAGACCACAGATTCTTTACTCCAAAGCTGAGAGAACTCGTGTGCCAAGGAACTCCCATTTCTTTGAGACCATTGATTTGCAAAACTTCTTTCCAGACAAAGAGTTCTACACGAAGGACTGCCATGTGCAATGTGCCAGTCTGGAGTAGAAATGCCACAGAAGGAGCAGATATGACACTAGCAAGTCACCGCGACATGCTCATGGTGTTCGTGGATTCTCATCCTCATGAAACATTTGAAGTTTGCAGAATTTGCTCAACCTACAGGCAAATTCTCCGATTATGTTTTGACTGAGTCGCGTTCAGCTTCGCCTTCTTTTTGGAGGAGATGCTGAAAGAAGTCGAACCGATTGTGACGACCTGAGCTGCGTTTTGCTCAGGTGATTTTTCCTGTGATCCCTCAGTATCAAACTGATACCTCGGTATCCAGTCTGCAGAGTGCCCGTTTTGCAGGCGGCGATGACAGGTCTAGGGACGTGCTCATCTCATGGCACAGACCATGTTTTCATCCCAAAATCTAGGTCTACTCTCCTGCCACGGGAGACGTGGTTTTCATCGACGCAGCCTTAGCTTCACCCGAGAGCATCCCCATAATTTGCCCAGCAAAACGAGAGCATGTTTTGCAGTTCCCTTTGTTGCAATCTGAACAAATTCATGCAGTTTGTGAGCGGGTATATAGCTAGCTAAGTAGCTTGTGGAATGCCTCTGTGCCTTTGGCTCGAGCCAGATATCATTTGGTTGAGATTGTTGGTGGAAGTGTCGCCAACTACCATGGGCACAATGGAGGAGAACAAAAGCAATGTGTTGCCTTACCTGGATTTCATTTGGTAAGGCCAAACAATTTGGCACAATTCATCCATTGAATGGGACAAGCTTGGACGGATCTCAGATCACGTTGAAACCGAGTGTGTGCGTAAGTCTGTGCTTAGACGTCTAAGCCTTTACGTGCCTGCAAAAGCTTGAGGAGCAGCTGAAAGCTTTGGAAGCACGAGTGGCCGCGCTTGAGGCGAGGAAACGGGGAGGACGAAACTTGCGGCTGACTGTTCTTTTCGAAGGCTGGAATACCCAATTCTTCGGTGTCGGCAGTTCCGGCTCCAAGTGTTCTTCGGTGTCGGAGTACGTCGTCCTTCGCCCTCCTCCTGGATGTTCGGTGGACGAAGGCCCCAGAGGATGCCGGTGTGCTGCCCGCACGTAAAGCTGGGACCGATGCGCAGATCATGAAGATGCTCTGCCCAAACCCTCGGGGTCTGTCGGAGCAGAAACTGCATCACAGAAACCGGGTGATATAGGCACACTTTTTGGGTGCCAGATGCACCAGGAAACACTGCTCAAGCCTGCTTGTTTCTTATTTGTTTAAAGCATTGTTTGTTTCGGCATGTGTTTGGCGGCTCAGTCTCTTGACCATTCTTTTTGCTGCTGAGGAAGGTGGCTACGCGTTTGCAAGACTTTGAATCTCAGATAACGGCTCAGCTGAGCAACCTGCAAACTGACTTTGACAAAAAGTTATCCCATGTCAATCGAGGCAGGAAGGGCACACTGTTGCTTCAGTGGGCATCAATGTTCAGACCAAATGGATTTGTAGAAATCCTGTACACTTTGTGAATGGTCAACTTGCTGTTCCTCAACTGTGTGTCCAACGCAGAGGACATATGCTATTTACCATCGAAAAGCTGCTTGCAGGAGCTGCTGCAACAAAGCCAATTGATGGTGCTGCGGGTTCTGCTGGATTGGACACAATGGCCGAAGACCTGGACCAGTTGAAGTGTCTTCGCTTTTCAAGAGATCAGTTGGGTGCTGTCTGTGTCTGACACCTCCTCCGGGTAAACGCCACCCCGGAACGAAGCCGCCGTGCGACCGAACTCCGCAGTCGGACCGGTCCGGGGCCCCTAGTAGCTTCTTGTTACTACTTGTAAGGCACTTGTTACTACTAGCGTGGCACCTTGTTACTAGCGTCCTTGCTACTAGCAGTGCCCTTCGCTACTTCTTGCTAGTAGCCATGCCCTTAGCTAATAGTAGCGTCCTTGCTAGTAGCGATGCCCTTAGCTACTAGTACAAAACATTTTGTGGTAATTACAATTGCTGGAACCTTTTCGCTCAGCCACTCAGCAATTGCTGCGACATTGGATGTTTGCAAGGTATGATGTGGGAGAACTCAAGGACCTGCTGGGGAACAATAAAGGTGCCGCTGGCATGTTGTGTGCAAGATCCCGGCTTCTTGTGTTCAACAGGGTCCGCGCTTGGAGCTTCTTGTTCGCTCCAAACCGGTGTACTCCGCTGATTTCAAGCTGAAGCTATTGCAAACGCACACACACATATTATATATAATGATATATAGTTGAAATTGTTTGAAGGTGAAGTGAATCACATCCGCCGCATTGTCCTTGCATGCGAGAGGGAGTCTTGGATCAGAGTACTGAGGATATGCTGAATGCACACATCATGATTTACAGAAATCTGGTGCATGTTTCTTGTGCATGTTGTTCTTTGTGGACAACTCCGAATTGTACGATACACGATATATACGTAAGCTAAGAAGTCAGTTGATTCTGCCATGGCATCATGGCAAGACAAATTCTTGAAGCCCGTCACTGAGGACATGGAGGACTTTACAGCTGCAATGGACGCAGTCAATGTGGACTTGGATGAGTTTCTGAGCAGATATTGGCTAACGTGGTTAGCGTATGTTAACGTGAGATTACACCTGAAACCGAAGAGCAGAGATTCATTCGTTCCTTCGTTCCTTCGTTCCTTCGTTCCTTCGTTCCTTCGTTCGTTTGCTCGTTCGTTCGTTCGTTCGTTCGTTCGTTCTCTCGCTCGTTCGTTCGTTCGTTCATTCATTCATTTCATCCAATGACTCTCTCCGAAGAAGTCTCTCCGAACTCGAACTCTCAGGATGCGTGCTCGTGTGGATGCCACCCACTCGATTATCACCAGCCGCCAGCGCGTGGAAGCCACCATGACGGCAGAGATCTCCACCATGAGGCCACGTCCGATGCGACCCGTCCGTCCGTCGGTGAGCGGACGTCAGCTGGTGCTGGTGCTGGTGCTGTGCGGAGCCTGCTGGTGCTGGTGAATCCCTGTGCTCGTCCTTTGCATGGATGTGAAGGGAACGTTCGAGCATTTGGTCAGACCCGAATTATGACCGCAAGACTTCACTCAAAGGTAATGAGGATTGAGAAACTGCTAAAACAATCTAAAACACCAAAGGGTTGGCGTGAAGACATTTGATTTGGTCTGACATGTCCGAAGGCTTGATATCGGCGACATCCAAGAGGCCCTGAAGAACCACGACTCCTGGATGGAGGATGTGTCCAACACCTTGCAGCAGATGCAAGAGAAGGAGGAAAACCTCACGGAGGATATCATCAACCTCAAAAACGAGATGTGCACCAAACTGGACACGAAGGCTGGGAGACCTTGGACCATTTGGGACCAAAGAAAGAGCCTTCAAGGACACTGACACCATGCCATAAAACTGGCTATGCCATATGCCCCTGGTTTCAAACTGACCAGTTGCTCCGATATTCTCGAAATCGTATGTCCCTGAGTCCGCGGGTTCGAATAACTAGATGTTTCCAGACGTGTAGATGTTGAATAGTCCAATCCCTCAATTGGGTAGAAATACTTGATTCTAAGAGAAGCTATGGGTCTGAGGCTCAAAGACGTTCCTTTCTCAGTTCCTTTCGCTGTTGAAACACCATTTGCCGGTTCATTTGGCCATGGAATCGTCCAGAGAAGGACAGACATTGAGACAGTGGAATGAAGAGTTGTGAGACTGAACAGAAATCCTCCCTTGGATTCCCTTGGAATAGTCAACTCCACAGTTCACTCACGGGTCCCTGTCCGGACCAGTGGTTGAAGCGAACGAAACATCTTATTTGTCGAACTTGTTATGCGGGTTTGTTTTCGCCAGTGTTCGGCCAGTTTCATTTTATTGAAGCTTTTCAACTCTGCTTTGTAACGGGTGATTGCAAACCCTCCCAATCCAGAACCGAAGAGCCTCTGTGTTTCATTGCAAAAAGTGTGAGGTGGACAACGTGGCCTGGAAGGAGGCAAATGATGACCTGGATGCTGCAATCAAGACTGTTGCATGGCTGCTCTTAGACATTGAACGCCAGAGATGGACATACAGCATAGTCACAAATTTTAGCACCAGCTAGCTGGAGACGACTTTGCCGCGCATTCGCAAAGCCTGGACGTATATTTTGCTAATGCACAAGAAACAATGTAAGATCACGCATTGAATTGCAGGTCCCCAGGCAGGTCAAGCTCCCTGGAGTCCAGTTGCAGTACCCATTCACCCTCACCCCAACTCACCTGTTTCCCCTCGAAGAACATGAGGCTGTTGAGCTTTACACCATGCCCCGCCACCGAGGTCCGTGACATGGTGTCATCCCTTCGCTTGGATGTGGATGCCCGCCGCCGCAAAGTGGATGAGATCCTGGCCACAGTGCGTCACCAGGATGAAGAGTCAACGCAGGTCTGTTCTAACTAGCGAAGGGCAGAGGCAACGGCCTGCAGTGCCTGCAGTGGAAGGACGGGAGGGTTCAAAACTAATTGGACTTGTTTGGTCCAAGCTGGTTTGAGGATGCCCACCAGTTTTCACGACCATGCACGAACAAGACCTGGCGACGAGGTCATGACATCACTGCTGTGGAGACCAACCTAGAGAAGTCCAAGGCGAAGATCACCAGTGACACTGATCAGGCGCGTTCGAGGGCCCGTCTCCGAGTCCTCCGCGTCTCCTGGGTCCTCCACGGTGCAGGACGATCACTTGTTGAAACACTGGCTCAAATTGGGTGCCTGTAGCCTGTGTTCTGGTTTACATACGGTCTACATGCCAGTCGATGCCAGCTCTTGCTGACCCCACGCTCTTCAGGCGGTGAATGCCCTGAATGGTCGCATTGACTTCACGAACAAGGAGGGTATTTGGCCGTTGAGGTGATCACCGCATTTCGGGTGGATTGGCTCCCGAAACTTGCACCAATTGTGTGGGAGTCATTCATGAAACTATCAAGCTTAGGGAGTCACTGCAGCCCGGAGTTGTTCCAAGAATGGACTGAGCAGGTTCGGGGAGTGTTCAAGTTTGTTCCAGCCAGAAGTCTTCAGAAATTTGCCATGTTGGAAGGAGGAATTTTTGTTCGTTCAGCACATTCCAGTTTTGTTTAAGGGTCCCAAAAGTGGAAGTTTCTGAGCTGGTTTTGGAAATGGACATAGTGTTCCCCACTGGAACTGGATCAGGAACTGGAACTGGAAGTCCCCTCCACCAAAAAAACCTTTTCTGATAGCAATTGCAATGCAGTTCGAGAAGTGGAACTGGATCCGGATCTAGCACTGGAACTGGATCTGGAACTGGAACTGGATCTGAAAGTGCAACTCCCCCCCCCCGAAGAAATATTTCGTCTTTACAAGAGGCATTGCAATGTAGTTGTAGAGCTGTCACTGGAACTGGATCCGGATCTAGAACTGGAACTGGATCAGGAACTGGAACTGGAAGCCCCCCCCCCACGAAAAAAATATTAGTTCGAGAACTGGAAGTGGAACTGGATCCGGATCT